AATATCCAATTCAGGCAATGCTTTCATACAGTTCTCTTAGCACTTCTCATAGAAAGTTTGCCTTAGCCATTACACAAGTCAGGGAACCTAGAACCTACAAAGAAGCTGCCAAGTCACATGAATGGTTACAGGCAGTAAATTCTGAGTTTGCTTCCCTAGAAAAAACCAAAACTTGGGTGCTTGTAGATCCTCCTCCCAATGTATCTATTGTTAGTAGCAAGGCTACACCCAAACACCAGGAGTTGATTACTTGGATACATTCTCTCCTGTGGTTAAAATGACTACAGTTAGGATTATTCTAGCCCTAGCAGCTATACACAAATGGCATCTAGAACAACTAGATGTCAATACAGCCTTCCTTCATGGTGACCTCAATGAAGAGGTCTACATGAAATTGCCACCAGGCCTTCCTATTCATCCAGATGATAAAAACAAAGTCTATAAATTAACTAAATCTCTCTATGGATTAAAGCAAGCTAGTCGTCAATGGTTTGCTAAGCTTGCTGCCACTTTAGAGAGTTTAGGATATCAAAAATCACACTGTGCTTACTCCCTGTACCCTGTTTACTAAGCAACATGATAAATCCTTTACTGCTCTTCTTGTCTATGTTGATGATATCATATTAACTGGAAATAACATGGAAGAAATTAAACATGTGAAACATCAGTTGGATTTGGCTTTTACAATCAAAGACCTTGGTCCTCTCAAATACTTCCTTAGCATGGAAGTTTCAAGGTCTGACAGTGGTATTCACTTGTGTCAAAGGAAATATACACTTGATTTACTGTCTGATACAAGGTTCTTAGCATCTAAACCAACTACTACACCATCCATCCCTGCTACACATCTATCTGCTCACGATGGCACACCACTTAATGACACAGACCACAGTAGTTACAGGACTCTACTTGGTCATTTTCAATATCTCTGTACTACTAGACCAGATATCTGTTATACTGTCAATCAGCTAAGCCAATTTGTTGATTCACCCACTACAGTTCATGAGCAAGCAACTCATAGATTACTAAGATATTTAAAAACTACTCCTGCCCGTGGCCTATTCTTTCCATCTAATTCTTCTCTTCGTCTCACTGCTTTCTCATATTCTGATTGGGCTGGATGCGCTGATACTCGAAGATCAGTGACAGGGTTCTGTGTTTTCCTAGGTAATTCTCTCATCAGTTGGCGTTCCAAGAAGCAACATACAATCTCCAGGTCATCCGCTGAAGCAGAATATCGAGCCTTAGCAGATACATCTCAGGAACTCCAGTGGATGACAACCCTATTCAAGCAACTCCCAGTGCAACCCTAGCAGCCCTACACAATCTAATGTGATAGCCGTTCTGCAGCCAAGATGACACAGAATCCAGTTCAACATGAACGAACAAAACACATCGAAGTCGATTGCCACTTCACAAGAGATCAAGTACTTGCTAACAAACTGAAAGTGCAACACATTTCTACTACCTTACAACTTGCAGATCCATTCACCAATGCTCTACCAGTTCACACTTTTGTTGACCTCATCTCCAAGCTCAACCTGAAATCAATTCACGTTTAGCTTGAGGGGGGGGGGGGGTATTAGAGATATGATGTACCAAATTGTAATAAGGATAAATTTACATAGATAGATTGTAATTAGGATAGGTACTATAATGTAATTTGATTAGGTTAGTTAGTAGTCTCGTAACTATTTCCCGCTTCTTAGGAGAACAGAGTATAAAACCAGCAACTCTAGCTGGATAATGTACGATTTTTCATTCTCTCAATCAAAGCAAGAAGAATTAATCAGAAATCTGACAGAGGTGGGCGAAGAAATTGTTATTAAAGCCCCAACAACTGGATAGCGCATGACAATGAATCAGACAGCTTTAACGATTGAAGCTCATGCCTTTGGCGAACAGATGGACAACTTATTTCACTCGCATTGTATCGTCAATGACAAACTATTGTCTTTGATCATCTATGGAGGGAGTTGTACGAGCGTTGTAAGTGGGGATGTCGTCAAGAAGCTTGGCCTAAGTACGAATAAGCATCTAGAGCCATACAACTTGCACTGGCTCAACGATATTACGAGACAATCAAAGTGACCAAGCAAGAAAAAATTCCATTTGAAATTGGTAGCTACAAGGATGAACTTGTGTTTGATGTAGCAACAATACAGGCTGCCCATTTGTCGCTTGGATGTCCTTGGCAATTTGATCAACTAGTATGGCATTTCGTAGGAACCAATTGTTACAAACTGAAGCATGAAGGTCGACAATTTGTGCTTAAACCGTTATCACCGGCTGAAATTCGATCATCAACAACAATTTGTCGCCAATCGAGCCAAGGAACGAGGGGAAAAAAGTGGTTCGAAGAAGGAAGTGAATTTTGTTGCCCAGAATTTTATGCTGATGACGCTTAAAAGATTTAAAATTCCCAGCAAGCTAGTGCGAAGCTACTCTGCTCGTCGACATCGACGAAACAGGGTATGAGAGAGGGTGAATTGGTTGGGGAGTTCAGGATGACTCCGGGTGAAACTGAAACCGTCAACACATTTGGTGAAGTGTAGGGAACATGTAGCACAATCCAATTGATGTCAAATGTTGTTGGATTGGAAAGCCCCAATCGGGCGATTTTCCAACTAAGAATGAAGAACGTTGACCGGGAAATTGATGAATTGGTCGGATTTATTGAGGTTGAATCGAACCAATTAGCCAGCAGGGATCAATTGCTGGTATCTCCGGGAAGGTGTAAGGCAACATAAATCAGCTCAAAATCAACCGAATAAAAAATGGCCAATATGAATTTTGGATTTATGGGTGTTGAGAATTTGTATTAGAGATAAAGAATAAATATTCTTTTACTTATATTTACTTTTAATCACTACCCCTTGTCATACGCCCCTGTATAACCACTTCTCCACCTCTCCTGTAAACTCTCAACAACTCTCCTGTAATTGTGTATATAGAGATCTGAAATCATCAATACAGAGATATGATACAGATTACAATTCAATTCTTTTCTCCATAATCTCTTATCTCTCACATGGTATCAGAGCTAGCAACGTCAGCTAGATCCAACTTTCCTCTATTTTTTTCTTCTTCTTCTCGGTGCACTCTGTTTTCTCCTACAATGTCAGGCACTTCCGAGGTCAATAACACAACTACTTCTATCGACATTCCCATGATTGTGACTTTCAATCCTGCTGCTCAGCTTCCCCTGAAGCTTACACCAACCAATTTCGCCTCCTGGCGCTCTCAGATTGAGACTCTGCTTATGGGTCTGGATTTATTTGGCTTCATCGACGGCACCGTCGTCGCTCCTTCTCGCACAATCACCATTGATGCCGTCAGCTCTTCCAATCTAGCTTATCAATTCTGGTTTCGCCAAGATAAGCTCATTCTTCATGCCTTACGTTGCTCGATCTCAGAATCAATTTACTCTTTTGTTTCGGCTGCCTCTACTTCCCGTGAAGCCTGGCTGGTTCTTGAAAAGTTGTATGCAAGCAATGCCCAATCTCGTGTCATTCATTTGAAAACGAAATTAGCCAAAACCACGAAAGGCGATAATGATGTTCTAACTTTCGTGAATGATCTTAAGAGCATAGCCGCCGAACTAGCTCTCATCGGTGCGCCCGTCTCTGACATGGATTTGGTGGTCTTCTGTCTTCGTGGTTTGGGTGAAGAATACAATGCCTTCGCTGCCGCTATTCGTGCTCGCGGTCCTGGTCTCATGTTGGAGGATCTTATTTGTAACACCCTAACCCGGCCGGGTACTACTTTTACTAAAATGCCCTTGATAAATAAAATAACCAAATCTTAAATCTCAGCGGGAAAATTTTTCATAAATAAAATACTGAAAACACACCCTTGTAGTTCATAGCAAATCCCTAACACGCGGGAAAATTAAACTCAATCTTTAAATCTCAATCTGATCTCCAGTCTATACTCATGATCATATAACGTAATAACTAACTAGTCTCAACTGCTGTTGCTACTCATAGGAGACTCTAACTGGACATCCTCCAAGACTCTCATGTCGTTCTCCTCCAGCTGGCTGCCCTCGAACTCGCTGCTCTCTAAAAGCTCCTCTGGCTCTTCCTCTAGCTCTTCAAACTGGTGAGTGAGATGGGGTCAGTCTACGCCCTTACGTTTTAACAACTTATTAATGCTTGATGACTTTCCTTAACTGAGTGGAGGTTGCTTTGTACTTCCACTATTAAACATTCTTAACTCTTAAAACTGTATGGGAGTTACTGTTACTCCATTCTTAAATCTCAAAGCTTGACTTAAATACTTGACCAACTCTGGGATCCCTCACTAGCTAGTCCGGTTGCCAACTCATACGTATGAGAAGCCATCCAGCCTTTCCTTAAACTTAAACTTAGTTAGGGAAGTCGTAACGATTCATCCCCCTAACATCTTAAACTTATCGTGGTGGCTCTTCACCACGATTCTCAAGGGCATAACTGCTGCCCATCTTAAAAGTCTCAAGAGCATAACTGCTGCTCTATCTCAAACTGTCTCAAAAGCAACGGATTGGCGCTAGTGACTAAAAACACTAAAAAAGACTTCACCATCTTGAAGGTGCTTTACTTCTTAAAATGGACTTGCTTCTTACTCTTTAATAATAACTTAAACCCGTAAAATTTCAAAGTAATTAATAAACATTCACTTCAAGCATAGCTCAAACAAAAAAACCTCAAATATCACAAACCATTTTAAACCATAACTCAAGCAAAGCACACATAATCAATCATACACATAACCAAGCAACGATAACGAATTCGCTAAAATACTTAAAATCACAATACTTAAAAGAATTCGTAAGGCGTAGAATTTACCCCCTTTACACTCACCTCGAAAAGACGACCCTTCTTCTCTGCTAGCTGATCCATGACATCGCCCGAAATTCCACGCTCCAACTCCTCGTGTTTCGCCTCCTTTTGCAAAACCTCCTATTAGGTATTTAGGCAAAACTTAACTCTCTTATCTCCAAGCTTAACTGACCAAACGAACTCCAATTTGGTTAATTTCAATCTCACTTTCCTCTATTTAATCTTTCCTAGGATTCCCCATAAAATTTTGGAAAATTACCTTTTTGCCCCAAAATGGTAAATTACCAACTGATACTCGAATTCCTAGGTCTTATCAATTCGGCCCCAAATTTCCAGAATTGCACAATCCAGTCCTCCTGGCCAATTTCCACTTTCTGATTTTGACATTCTGGTCCAACTGGCATATTTCCAATTCAATACCCAAACATTTACTAATTGAGAACTCATCCCCAGCCTGGTCAATTACTTTACGGCGCCTAAACTTCCAAAATTTATCAAATCTCCCCAATTCTGAAAAGACCTATACGCCCCTAACTATTTATCAAATTTTCAATTGGATGCCATTGACCTCCAAAAACACGGGAGGACACTCACCTGTACACCGCCGCCGCCGTCGACGTCGGGGTTCCGGACACCATCGCCGTCGTCCTCCTCTCGATCCCCGAACCCACAAAAAACCCATTCCTCCGGCTCCTCTTCTTCTTCCGCGGGCAAAGCCTCGCCTGCCACCGTTGGCGAGTGAAGCTTTTCACCGCCGTCAAGCCCGTCGCCACCTCTCCGGCCGCAATTCAGAGGGAATTGACGGATTGCCGAGATTCCTCGTCGTTTGGGTGGGTAAGTGCTTGGTCGCGCCGACGTTTCCATGATGTCTTTCATCCTGCCACCGTCGAAGTCGACAGTAGCACTTCTCGCCGTCGTCAAGCTTCCCGCCTTCTTCTTGCATCCCCTAGCCACTACCCTCGTTCTGATCCACCTCGCTCCCCGTCCTGTTGGTGCCGGCTCCATCAAGCCCTTCGAGGGGAATAGTGCTTGCCGCCCCGCTCTTCTTCTCTGATCTCCGATTTCCCCTGCCCTCTCGTCGTTGTAAACCCAGTCACAATCAACTCACAACCCTCAATTAAACCGCACACGAAAACAAACCCCAACCCGCTGCCCTAGATCGAATTAATCCCCTCAATTAAATCTCCTCAGTTTCGTCGGTTATGCCCTGATTTCCCGGTCGTTTCCACGTCTTCCTGTTCCCCTGCTTCTTCGCTGCCGCTCGACTTTCTGTTGCGTTTCCCCCTTTTTTTATTTAGGCATGCCCTTCCTCCCTTCCGCGTCTGATCGGTTTCGCCAAGGAGAGGGCGAATTCTCCTCCTCTCTTGGGCCTCAGCCCGTTCCCCCATCCTCTCCCTCACTCGGCCCAAAGCCCTTCTCCTCTTCCTTCCTTTAAACCACACATGGGTTAGGCCCTTCTCCCTCTTCTTCCACTGGGCCGGCAGGCCAGCCCGCCTTTTTTTTCTTCTTCTGGCCGCCCATGAGAATTAAAACGGCCCAACCCCAATTGCCACTCCATGGCCGCCCAAAAACCCAAAATCAGGTTAGCCCGAACACTAAATCGAGTCATGATCCGAAAATCCAATTTATACTCGTACCCTCTTCATTTTATATCAAATTTTAACGCCGTTTGCACCGGTAGTTCATGTTTTTAAATCCTCATCCATAATATGGCGGAACTTGATGACTTTGCTCAAGGGTAAAATAATCATTTTGACTTTTGGCAAGATCGGGGTGTAACATTGTTGATTCACTTATTGAGTATGAGTCAGACCTTAAGGTCCAATAGAGGACCTCTGTGCCGACCTTCTTTTTTTCTCAGGGACAGCAGCGGAAAGGTGGCGGGGGTTTCCAGCGCAGGTCTTCCTCCCCGTTACCCTATTATGTCCCGTCAAAGCGGGCTTCTCCTCAATAGGCTCAGGCTGCATCGGATTTCCAGTGGGCTTCAAGCCCACTTTCACAGCCAATGGGCGGGCCTCCTTCAGACTATGGGCAGGCCTCGGCCTCTTCCTTTAACACTTGCAGGCCTCCTATCATATGCCAATATTGTGAACATCCTGGTCATTCGGTCCGTCAATGCTTTAAATTATTTCCACATGCTCGTCAAGCTTATCAAGCGCGGCAATCTCAGGCTCATCATACCACTACTGGTCGCACTTCTTCCTCCACTCCATGGTTACTTGATTCGGCGGCCTCTCATCATGTCACCTCCGACTTAGGCAATTTGTCACTCTATTCTGATTACAATGGACCGGATGAGATACTTGTTGGTGATGGAACAGGTTTGAAAATTACTCACATTGGCTCTTCTACGTTGCACTCTGTCGCTGCTTCGTTTCAATTACAGGATGTATTGTGTGTGCCTGCCATCAAGCGTAAACTTGTCTCTGTTGCAAAATTATGTCGTACTAATTCCATTTCGGTGGAATTTTTTTTTGATTGTTTTGTTGTGAAGGATCTTCGCACGGGGCACCACTTCTGAAAGGGGGAAATAATGGAGATGTATATGAGTTACCTGGTGATGTGGATAATGTTCGTCTTGCTCTTGTCACCACACGGACATCCTCTACATCCTGGCATGCGCGCCTAGGTCATCCTTCCACACAGTCCCTCACCACTCGCGTTCGTTCTCACTCTTTGCCAGTATTGTCCTCTCTCGTCAGTAGTCATTGAAACTCTTGTCTTTCCAATAAAAGTCACAAACTTCCTTATGCTATGTCTTCTTATCCAGTACCAGACCGTTTGATTTATTGTATACGGATGTTTGGGGTCCGACTCCGGTCTCCTCCATTGATGGTTTTCGTTATTATTTAATCATCGTTGATCATTTTTCTCGTTATACATGGTACTACCCTTTGAAAAACAAATCTGATGTTCTTAAAGTGTTTCTTGATTTTCGCACCATGGTTGAAAACTACTTTTCCACCATCATTCGTCGTCTTTACTCCGATGGTGGCGGTGAGTTCCAAAAATTGTGCCCCACTCTTGCTACTCATGGCATAAGCCATCTCCTTACCCCTCCTCACACCCCAGAGCACAAAGGCCTCGCTGAACGCAAACATCGCCATCTTGTTGAAACATGCATAACTCTACTTCACCATGCTAATCTCCCCACCATTTTTTGGTCTTTTGCCTTTTCCACCGCTACATATCTCATTAATCGTCTCCCGTCCTCTGCACTACTTGGTCGCATTCCCTATACTGAATTGTTCAATCTTGCTCCCAATTATCATAAACTTCGTGTTTTTGGTTGCTTGTGCTACCCTTGGTTACGACCTTACTCCTCTAATAAGCTTGATCCGCGCTCCCGACCTTGCTTATTCATTGGTTATTGTCCACAATGTAGTGCTTATAGATGCTTTGATCCGCAAACTCATCGCATTTTCTTGTCTCGTCATGTTGTATTTGTTGAACATTCCTTTGTTGGGTTTTCCACTAACTCTTGTGCAGATCCCCCCACCGTAGCTTCCTGGATCCATGACACTGGACCTGCCATCACTCATATACAACTCCCTGGGCATCGGCCCATATTAGCCATCCCACCCCCTTCAGCTGTTGGCCCGCCTCGGCAAGATTCCTCCGCAGCAACTCCATCCGCCCGCCCTGCCACTGACTCTCGGCCTCCTCTGTCCGTCTCTGCTGGGCCGCCCTCCACCTCTATTGGGCCGCCCTCCTCCCCTAATGGGCTGCGCTCCTCCTCACCAGCCGGGCTTGAGCACTCCTCGCCTGTCCCCTGTGTGTCTCGCCCAGCTGCTCCTCCCCCACTTATTCGCAGTCACCAAATGAAAACGAGGGCCCAGGCTGGCATTTACAAGCCCAAAAGGTTGTTTACTATTGATCACACTACACGGACACCGCCTATTCAGCCGGGGTCAGTTTAGGAGGCTATGCAATATTTCGAGTGGGATGGAGCTCTTCGCAAGGAACATTCTGCTCTTATTCAGAATCACACCTGGGATCTTGTTCCCCGCCAGCCGCACTATAATGTTCTTGGTAATAAATGGGTATATCGTATCAAACATCACTCCGACGGCTCTATCAACCTGTTCAAATGTCGGCTTGTCGCGAAAGGCTTTCTTCAACGCCCTGGTGTGGACTTTCATGATACTTACAGTCCGGTGGTTAAGCCTGTTACGGTTCGCACAGTCTTTACCATCGCTCTCTCCCAAGATTGGCCCATCCGGCAATTTGATGTCAACAACGCCTTCCTTCAAGGGCCTCTTGACGATGAGGTGTATATGGTTCAACCACCAGGCTTTGTTGATCCCAAATATCCTCATCACGTCTGCCGTCTTCGTCGAGCCATCTATGGCCTCCGTCAGGCACCCCATGCTTGGTACACAACATTGAGTTCATTTCTCATCGACTTTGGGTTCCGGAGGACGCAGTCCGATGCCTCCCTATTCGTCTATCAGCGTTCTGGTGTTCTCATGTATTTTTTGGTCTACGTGGATGACATCTTGCTCACTGGGAATGACTCTGCCACACTCTCTGCCTTCCAACTTGCATTGGCCGCCAAATTCTCTCTCAAAGAACTTGCATTGGCCGCTGGCTTCCTCCACCACTCTCTCCCTCCGTGATGGTTCTTCGCCTATGGATGCGACCCGGTACCGTCAAGTTTTAGGGGCGCTACAGTATCTGGTGTACACTCGCCCCGACATAGCCTTCGCTGTCAACAATGTTATAAACGCGCTGCTACGGATCAGGAAATCGCAGGAATCGATAAAGCAAGAATACGAAAGCGAGAATCGAAAAACACAAACACATGATTTACGTGGTTCACTAACACGATGTGTGTTAGCTACGTCCACAGGCGAGAGAGAGCCAGTTTCACTATATCGAGGAGATTACAGATTACAGCGATACCCCCGATTACCAGTCGTAGCGGCTGATAGTCCGATTCAAGTCACATTAATAAACAAACTCTCCCAATACATGCGTGCCCCTTCTTCGTATCACTGGCAGTGTCTCAAGCGCCTACTACGCTATGTTTGTGGTACCATCTCCTATGGTCTTGCTGTTCGGCGGGCATCCCTTCCCTTGCAACTCACTGCTTTTTCCGACTCTGATTGGGCTGGCAATCAAGATGATCGCACCTCCACCTCTGCCTATCTGCTTTACTTGGGCTCCACCCTCATCTCATGGCGGTCTCAAAAGCAACGGACTGTTTCTCGTTCCGGTACAGAGGCTGAATATCGGGCAATCGCTCATGCCACTGCTGAGTTGGAATGGGTTCGCAATCTTCTGACTGAACTACATCAACCATTGACTACCTCTCCTACTCTATTCTCCGACAATCTTGGTGCCACCAGCTTCAGCTCCAATCCTCGCTTCCATTCTCGTATGAAGCATTTGGCACTCGACTTGCACTTTGTTCGTCAACTAGTCCAAGCTGGCCGCCTCAACGTCCACTATGTGCCCAGCAGCTCACTGATGCTCTCACCAAACCACTTGTTGCTCCACGGTTTCGTCTTCTTCGATCCAAGATTGGAGTCGTTGACACTACCTCCATCTTGCGGGGGCGTATTAGAGATAAAGAATAAATATTCTTTTACTTGTATTTACTTTTAATCACTACCCCTTGTCATACGCCCCTGTACAGCCACTTCTCCACCTCTCCTGTAAACTCTCAACAACTCTCCTGTAATTGTGTATAGAGAGATCTGAAATCCTCAGTACAGAGATATGATACAGATTACAATTCAATTCTTTTCTCCATAATCTCTTATCTCTCACAATTTGAATTTCTAGAAGGGTGGGAAATATTCTACGCTCGTGGCATCTCGATGCGAGCAAAATTGGAGCCTGAAAATGGGTGGGATTGACTCCTTGAAGCAAGGGGAGCCTGATCCAAGCGATCAATTGAAGTGGTGAAGCCCGAATTAAAAAGCGCCAATTCGCTTGAGCTCGCCGGAGTTCGTCGAGAAGATGGAGACGACGACGAGCATTCTGATGTCTTTCCCGATGTTGGTCCTTCTTGATACAGGACAAGGAAGCAAAGGGAATGATCAGTTGGTCGTGGTACTGGTCGAACCATCATCGAACGGTAGCGAGGCAGAAGACAGTGGGAATTTGAACGCCGACGAGGATCAATTGGCATCCGCTTTTGATGACCCATTTTCGAGTCTTTTTATCATGTTCTTTCTTGCATGAATCACCAGGCTTTGAGGTCAAAGATTTTTAAAAACGAGGGTCTGATGAGAACCCATTTTGTACCCTTGACAGTTTACCATGGGAGTGCAAAGTTGTAATCAAGCCATGGAGAAAGGAAGAACATCATTTTGGAAATCTGCCTATGTATGAAAACAGTTTAGAGCTACCTACTTAATTTGGAATATTCTTCAAGACATTTGGGACACAATCAAAGGGAGCTTGGAGTTGGGATGAGAATCTTGAAACTTACTGAAGAAATGACTGGAGTTGGATGAGCTCGAAGATACCTGGAAGCTTAGAATGAAGGCATCAAAGTAGCTATGGACCCTATTTTGTGTACTTGTGTAGAAAGTCATTGCTTAGTGTCCCAACAACTAACTTTTGTGTCCTTGTTAAAGTGGAATTACTTACCTTGTTTGAATCCTAGTTTAAGTAGAGTTCCTTATTAGTTTTAGTAGATGATTAATTAGCATTTAATGGTCCAAAGCATTGTAATTGAGTTTAGTTTTTGAATGAAAAAGAACCCTAGCTTGCAAGTTTTTGGCTTGTTTGTGTTTGAGTTTGGGAACGAGATTCCAAGCTCGAATTGAGCTTTGTATCAATGAAAACCACATTGATCGTGGTTGATCATCTATCCATTTATTGTTTGAGCCTTCTCCCAAGGTGTGAGATTGCACAATAGATCCCATATTATGCAAGTAATCGACTTAGTGGGGTTGCTTTGTTTGAGTTCAAGGAGTTTCATTCAACTCGAACTTGGTTGTCTGATTCATAGAGTAAGCCAATCTTTCTCTATTAATTACTGCCTTCCTAATAAAATTTGAGCTTTATAGGTATGTTCAAATTCCATAAGTTCTTCCGACAGAAACCCTCCTCTTCTTGTTGTCTTATTTCTCCATTTTCCTCATCCTCTTTTCTATTTTGCTCAATGAAATAGCTAGACTTGACAATATACTTTCCATCTTCAGTTCCTGTCCAACAGAGGGCATCACTTTCAATAGCGGATAAGGGAGGTAGGGATTTCAAGGATCGCTTTTGTTCGTCAGTATATATAAGCTCCAACAAGTCCTTCCTCCATATCCCTGTCTCTTGATTAGTTAAGCTCGACACTGATGAACCGTCACACACGGTTTAAGAATTTTGCTTGTAACTCATAAGCAAAAGCATGAAATGAGTGTTGAAAACCTTCTATTTCTTTATCGATTTGATACCCGAACTAATGTCATAGTTACATATACTAGTTAATTGGCCCGCGCTACGCAGCGGGGTTTTACATGCTATATTAATGAACTTATTTGTTTTAATAATTATTAAGAAGTTCCTTAACTAAAATATCAAAATGCAATTTCCCCGGTAATTGTTAAACTCTTCTTAACCCATATCCTGGCCAAGTGGTTCGGGAAAAACATGTGCTACAACTACACAGATATTTACAATTTTTTGAACTTATTAGGAGACCAAATTACAATACACAACATTAATCACAACAGATGTAAAGTCTGGGTTCTCCATAATGTACTCCCGAAACTCCAACTAACCATAATGCAATATTAGACGTGGGTTTGTATAACTGAATTATGTCTGACTCATTCTCCTATGTCAACAAAGACATGAAATCTCGATAAGCTAATTGAAACTGTAAAATGCTCAAATCCTTTATAATAAGATGAAACAAAAACAGTGATATCAACATGAAAAATACACTACTTCTATATAAGAAAACATAAATACATTACATTAATTTCCTATAAAAAACACTACATTCATATATTCATTTTAAATAATCTACACCAGATATTCCACATAATAAGTAAAAACCCTACGCATGAATTATGAAGTTAAATAGGTAGATTGTGTCATTCATGTTTAAGATGGAATCAGGATATATACGCGGTTCTTTTACATGCATCAAGTACAAATAAATCATATTCTGAATACATAAAAATTATTAGAATTCATGCATTTACCCTTCGTCCTTAATTAGCAGAAGGCTACAAACTATATAAAATCTAGCACAAAGAGAAAATGTGAAGATTTGTATGAATTTATTCACCCATGCATTTCTTCTTACGGATTGTGTGTCTAACTCATGCATCATCATAAGAGCGAAAGATCCATCAAAATTCGATTAATTACTATGAAGATAATAAAAAAATTACAATGTGGGGAAGTATAAACATGCTAATGATTGAATCATTCATAGCAAAGCATGAAACAATGCAATAATGGAATAGGAAATATAAAAGAAGGAACACAATAACACATATAGTGGGGGTGGCCAAGTGGCATCCTTCCACAACAACGTGTGACCCATGCATGCATATGCTTTCTCCCACCACCAAATAAATCGATTGACAGAGGTGAAGAATAAAGAAGAGTGATTTTAATAATAGCCATGCATCCCCTCCCATTGTGAGCTCTACTGTGAGAGACTAAAGATGCATCATCTGCTCCAATCCCCCAGAATTCTTACTTACTAAACAGAGTGTCTCTCTTCCCTGACATCTCCACTCGCTCTCCAACCCTTACTCCCAATTTCCCACCTTTCATCGACTTTATTCACTCCTCCAGCTCTAATTTGCTACCCAACACCTTTTTAAAAACTTCACATGGAATGGTGACGACGGTGATGGAGAAACGTCGACCATTCAGCTATCCACTTTCGGATCCAGCTACCCATCTGCGGACACAGCTTGGCTAATACATCTTCCTATAGCCCAGAGAGCTTTAGAGGGTGGTTAATGGAATGGACAATCATCTTGCATGGTCACCAGTCTGATTGGAAAGGAACGGGGAGAAAAGAGAATGTGCTAGAACTAAAAAAAACAAAGCCATACGGAGAAATCGGATTGCTCTGCGATGGTGCTCCTTCCTCCGACCCGTTCAGTTATCCACCTTCTGATCCAACGCGATTCTCTAGCTATCCATCCCCGGCCACACCTTGGCTTGTTGGCCAGCCGCCAGGGGATCGACGGAGGGGGGAAAAGGTAGGTTGGGCAGAACGGGATAACGTCGAACGGAAAATCAAAATGAGAAAGGGGAAGACGGGTGCAAAAAATTGGGGGATCGAACTGGAGGGCCACTCATCGAAATTGAAAGGGATGAAGCTTGCCCAGCCGCCAGGCGAACGACGGAGGGGAAGAAAGGGTAAATAACGGGGACTGAATACGGGTATTCGAAAGGGAAAGGGGCAAACGGAGTGCACCGATCTTATGTAGACACGCCCGTATATGCCCAAACCCCTTAAGAAATTAGGCGCTATTTATTATCTAATTTATCTAGAATGGAAACCCTAAAAACTAAACCTACCATAGCATACTCGACCACCTAACCTAGAAGACTATCAATCCACCACTAACCCTACAGATTACTAAGTCCATGCTAACTACGTACTAACCTTGGCCCATGCCCCCAAAAAACTTGCCGACTCTACTAACCCACTTATCTAATTAACTCAACTACTATTAACCCTACATAACACATACACATTGAACAAGCTTTCCCGCGAGCAGTCCTCGAGGATGCCATAAACCCTCTTGCGCAACCGAGTTGGCTACTCTCGATGAAAGAGGCCAATTGCCATAGCTGGGCGCCACCAAGGGTGGCAGAGTGGACCCTCTCGCTACCAACTTAGGGTGATGTAGCTGATCGTTCTTCATTCAAGCCAAGCTAGTCGCATCATGAAGATTCTATGATCGGAACATTCATATCTCATCCTCAATTTCAGGCTTCAGGCATCCCAAATACAAGCTAACTAGCTCCTGTTACATCCATCCTTCACATCAATTAGCCAATTTTTCAAACTCCAAATGATAATCAAGCGGAGAGCCTATTTAGCAGATTCGGGACAAGGCTTCATCACAACTTTCTCCTTAAGTAGGCATGAATAGTGGCCACAACTCTTGGGATAACAACTCTCATGTGATCGGCAGCCCGACGTCCTTATACGTGAGCTTCAACCACTGCCACCATTTGTTAGCTTCTCCGTCGAGATGGAATGAGGCTAACTGCACCCGTTGCTCATCGGGAACCTCATGGTACTCAAAAGTTGTTCAACTCGCAAAATAACGCCCCTGGATCCTAACTGTCAAATTTAAGAAATTCTAGGTGGTCTAGATTTCCTAGGATTCACTCCACCATCGCTCCACTCATATAACCCGACGCACTAGATTCGTGACTGTCTCGTTGGTCATCTACAGTATAGATTGCAATTGCTCGGTCCGACCTCCAACGTAGTAATTCGTTTCGCTGCCATTCCACACATCCCACTAGATCAGACTACTTTAATACCAATTTGATGAACCGCCACTCATGCTTCAAGAGCTTTGCTTGTAACTCGCAAGGTAGAGCACGACGTAAGTGTCAAAAACCTTTTTTTTTTGTTTTGTTTATTGATTGGATATCCAAACTAATTTCATAGTCACATATTTATATAGAATGGAAAACCTAATGAATAAACTTGCCCTAGCCGGCTTGGCAACCTAACCAAGGAGACTCCCAATCCACCGTTAACCCTACTAATTACTAAGTTCATGCTAACTACATACTAACCTTGGCCCACGACCATTTGTTCCCACCCCCCCCCCCCCAGATTTGACATCCTCTCCCAATCCAATTATCCATCTGCATTCATATTTCAACAAATCCTCTAACATATCTGTGCTTCCAGAAGGAAGGACCTTAGATGATATTTAGCTCTTAGGAATCTTGCAACAAGAGAATTAGTCATCTGCATATTCCAGAGGTACTTGGCAAGGATGGATTTATTGAAAATCAAGAGATCTCTTAAGCCAATTCCACCTCATCTTTTCTTTTGCGTAGTTTTTCTCATATTCTCTAAACAATTCTCTTCCAAACCTTTTTTGTCTGCACCAGTAGTTTGCCAACATGATTAGTGTATCATTCACAATACCATAAGATATTTTAAAACAGACATGATATATGTCGTTTGTGCATGAGCAATAATACTTTTGATAAAGACTTCTTTCCCTACATAAGAG